CCTGTAGCAGGAGCAGCAAGCGTGCACAGCTCTAGGGAGGTGGGTTGAGGACAGGAGGTGGAAAACACATTGGGCTGGGCTGAGTTAGGCTTTGCTACAAGACAAGATGCCTTCACAGTATAAGCACCTCATCTTCTGATACTGCCCACATTTAGAGGACAGCTAGACATATATTAAGCTGCTGCTCAAGACTGTCCCATGACGGACCTCTCCTCTGAGGTTCACACTACACCACCTCATCTTTCACTCACGTTTTCTACAGAGGACAGGGGAGGGCCCTGGGAGAAGATCAACTACCAGCTATCACAAGCAACCACACTGTATAATCACAAACCTATAAAGCCGCCTTTCAAGACTCATTCAGTCAGCACAGGGAGGTGTGGCTGCCCATCGCAGCAAGGATGTTTCAGGAGGGGCTTTTTTAGCATGACTTCCCTCAAACCCTGCAGCACACCTGTAGAAGAATACTATAAAGCCAAGGAGACACATAGGCAGAAGTAGGCAGCAGAAGAGCCTCGGAGGCAAAGATAGTAACCTTAACAGAGAGTGATGAAGGAGACAAGCAGAACATTAGTGACCTACCTAAAGTTGAAGGGCAGAGAGGATCTCAAAATAACTGTTTTTTATAGACAGAAGATCAAGATTATGGTGATAGTTCAGAAGAAGATTCTGGCTCAGCTGCTTTCTCCTATGCTTTCTATGCTACCTGATAACTACTTTTAAAAAATCCCACTGACAGTTTATTACAGTCCATGTTCTCCTCTTGACCAAAGGATACGATATAGCCAGCGGGCAGCCAGTGGCGGGGCAGGAGAGGGACCAGGATTCCAAAGCCAACCAGCGCAAAGAAGAAGTACAGCAACCAGGCAATAATCTGGAAAAGGTGCAGAGGCCAGCTCCAGCCATTCCTTCGAGCGCGTTGGACCTGCACCTCAGGAACAGCTTCGCCAAAATTCTCTGGGGCTGTCTTATTAGGAGGTTTATTGCAGATATTCATCTACAGAAATCAAAAATGGAAAACAAAAAATATGTGATACAAAAATATTGTGACTCAGCCTCAGTCCTGGAGATATGCTCCCAGGTGTACAGAAAGTTGGAGAGACTAAAATGACGACACATCTGAGGAGAGACTTCTCTCTGCACAGGGGATTTGTGATCGATAGTAACAAAAGGGAAAACAACAATTACACGCTCTAAAAGCAAGTGCTGATGTTTGCGTGAAACAACAATACCCCAAACTTCCAGCTAAGAGAAACTTGCAGGTCTTGCCAGTCTTTGAATGGGTCTAGACCTAAATTGAGTAAAAAGAACAAAGAGGGTATTATGGTGGCAGTCCAGAGATGGAGTATGATATGCTGTGGTTTGGGGATGTGTTTATATCAGAACGCTGTTATGGATGACGGCAGAACAAATGCTTTCACCTGTCTCAGATATGCGATGTTTTCCTTCCAGCTAGTGCGGAGAAGTGTAGTGAGAGCGGGTGGCCCCACTGGAGCTTGTGGTCTGGAACTGCAATTTAGCACTACAGAGCATCCAAGAAAACAGAGACTCCTTTGTCAGCAACAAAGGAAGTGGAAAGACTAGAAACTGAAAAAGTGAACTGATAATTTAAAGAAAAAAAGGGGAAAAGAAGCAGGAGTTACTCCACAACACAAATATAAAGCAGACTGTTGCTAAAGGAACAGAACAGGAAGTTACGTATGCAGGACATCCATGCAGGAAGCAGCTTGATTATTCAGCTGTCCTACAATGTCTGGACTCCTGGCAGGAGAAAGCAAGATTTAACTGCAAAGATGAGTTAGGAACCATAACCTGGGAAGTTCCTGATGTTTATGATTCCTGTTTGCAAAACAGCTATGAGGTCAGAAGCGATTTCTCCTTTTTTCAATTTGTGTTGGATTATTAGTTGTTGCTTTTCGCTTGCCACAGAGCCAGGATGAGCTTTTAACAACAGAGAGTTGGGCTGCTCTGCTTCACAGAAAACTCGGGTGCAACAGATACTACGGAGTACAGTACAGGGTAACATTGCAAAACCAGCACTAAGAAGCTCTGCTGGACCTGAGCTGACAGCAGGTACCTCTACACCATGTGCACTGTTCCTTAGTAACTAAAGAGGATGTTAAATTAACATCTAACAGGGATAAGCAACTTCAATTAGTTCGATTAACTTGCACACAAGCATGAAGAAAGAAAAGGAGGAGGTCTCTAGCTCACTTGAGGTATTTTTGATAATGGTTCCAGTACCAGAAAAATGCCAAAGTGCTGGAAGACAGGAAGCGTGCCAACATGCTGAAAGAGTGAGAAGAATGATTCAGATCTTGGTACACCAACAGTCCTGCATCAGTCCCAAGCAAAGGGCTGGAAATGTCTTTTTGGGTCAACTGGTAGAGAAGTAGTGGGTAAGAATACAAAAGAATGTAATTTATGCTCATCAGCACAGTCTTATCAATAAGCAGGCTGGAAAAAAAATTCCTAACTTCAGTCTTTGAAGAAATTAGCAGTATCTGCCTGCACATTCATAGTTTAAAATGCTACATGGCAACTGGCTCATCAATCATGAGAAATAGTTACTAATCATGTGACACTTTTTTCATTAGCATGTTGAAAACTTGCTTGTGCATCACTTTGAGCTACCTATTACAAAAACCGCTCAGATTATTTGAAGAACTCCCCAGGTTTCTCCTGTTTCCCAATCAGACCCTGACCAGGAGAGCCAGGCCCATCCAGACCCTGGAATCCCTCTTTTGCTGCAAGACTTTGCTGTTTTATAACACCACATGGTTTTAACATTATGTTATTTAATGTCAAAAGCTGTGGTACAATTTGACAGTTTTTTACATGGTGAACTGCAACTAAAGCTAGCATAAGCTATGTCCTGGCTACACTATTCCTGAGGCTGCAGTCATCCCACAGCAGTGCCAGCCTGGCAACAGACTCTCAGGAAGGAAGCAAGCCACGTGTAACGCTTCATCTGTCCCATTTCAGAAGCGAAGTTCGTCTTGCCTTTCCCTTACAACTCGATGGCTTCTCTTGTAGCTGATGCACTGATTATCCACCGGTACTGATGAAAAACAAAGCTATATGTGAAGAGACTTGAGGATACAGCATCTCCCGTTCCCGGCAGGGTGCCCTATGCTGCGACTATGCCCGGCGCTCCTTTCTACCCAACAACAGAAAACACTGAATATAAAAAACAGGGCATGAAGTCACTATCAGGGCTTACTCGGTCACCATAGACAGAGGAGAGATAACTGAGTTGACGGTGGTTGTTAACTATACTAGTTAACTATAAGTCAGCCGGGAGTTGAAAGGTTCACCCCTCTGGATGCTCAGCCACCGGACAGCCAAGCGCTGGGCAGCGGGAAGGAGCATGCAACCAGCCGCGCTGGGGCACCGGCACCTCCCGGGGACGTACGGGCAGGCACCGGGGACCGGGCCAGGCGAGCGGGGTCCCGGGCTCTTGGGAGGACCGGGTAAACCCCTCCCGCGGCTCCGGCACCGCTCATTCCTCACCTTCTCCCCGCAGAGGCGGTTGAGAGCGGCCCCGTACCCGCTTCATGCCCAGGCGGGTAGCGGGGCCCCCAGCCGAGGCCGGTACAGCAGCTGCCGGCGCCTCCAGCGGGTTTAGGCCGCTAGGCCCGTCGCCATGGCAACGGACGGGGCTACGGCGGGGGGCAGGGGAGCAAAAAATA